CTCTGCCTCCCAAGTGCTGGGACTACAGGCATGTGCCACCACACCCGGCAGGACTGATCTTTTAAATGTTGACTTTCATGACTAGTACAGGTATATCGGACTACTTCAAGAAGCATCTCCCTCGCCTCCCTTATTTATTTATTTATTTATTTATTTGTTTGTTTGTTTGTTTGTTTAGAGACAGGGTCTTACTATGTAGCTCTGGCTGGTCTGGAACTTGATATGTAGACCAGGCTGACCCTGAACTCACACATTCACCTGCCTCTGCCTCCCAAGTGCTGAAATTCAAGGTGTGGGCCACCGTACTGGCATCCCCCCCTGCTTTTTTTCTGGTCTTTTTGAGACAGGGTCTGTCTGTAGCCCCAGCTGTCCTGGAAATCACTATGTAGACCAGGCTGGCCTTGAACTCACAGAGATCCACCTGCCTCTGCCTTCTGAGTGCTGGGATCAAAGGTGTGCGCCACCACACCCGGCAACCTGCCCTTTTTAAAACTATCAAAAATGGAACTTCAAGCATATATACCATTTTCCTTACAAGATTCTGAGTCAGACCAATTTCTAGCTGACGTCAATAAGAAGAAAAGCGTTACTCCGCTAAGGCAACGGGTAGGAGTTTCACCTCTTTGCTCCTTGTGAATCATGTTCCTCTGTTTTGTGCTTCCAGGCATTCTTGAAGAATTTGGAGCATGAAGATACTTTTGTGTATCTGTCTGCAATCCAGGGTAAGTTAGTCCTGGTTAAAGGACTTTGAGTGTCTGGACCAAAGGTTGCATCATGTTTATTTGAACAAAATCTCTTAAGTCATTCAACCACAAATGAAACTGGTCATTCTGTCCATCTTTCTGCCTCTTAAGCTAGGACACTCTTGAATTATAATAACAATATTCCTGGAGAGTTTCCAAATGAGTCCCTATAGAGTTTCAGTGCCTCACAATGATTCGAAAGTTTTATGTTTACTTTTAGTTCTATAAATTAAATCCTAGTCCTTATAGTTGGGAGAGATAAAGAATGGCTTACACATGAATTCTTATTGCGTTACCTTTATGGGGGCTAGCAAGATGGTTCAGCAAAGGTACCTGCTGCCCAGCCTGATGATTGAATTCAATCTCCAAGACCCACACAGTAGAAGGGGAGAGCCAACTCTGCAAGTTGTCCTCTGACCTCCACACATGAGCCATGGCATACTCTCTCCCATACACAGACACACACACACACACACGAGAGAGAGAGAGAGAGAGAGAGAGAGAGAGAGAGAGAGACGCACATACACCGAAGGGAAAAAAAACTCCTGTTTTGTGTTCAGTTTGGTTAGTTGGGTACTTTTGCTTTCATTTTTGTGGTTTTTGGTTTTGTTGTTTTTGGTTGGTTGGTTAATTTGATCTTTTTGGTACTGGGGATTGAATTCGAGGCCCCACACATGAATAAGGTACACCAGTGAGCTCCATTCCCAGTTGTCGCCTCAGGAATTTAGTATTTTTTCATGCAAAAAAAAGCCTTATTGAGCTGGAGAGGTAGCTTAGTGGTTAAGAGCACTTGCTCTTCCAGAGGAGTAGAGTTTGGTTCCCAGTGCCTATGTCAGACAGCTTACAACCACCTGTAACCCCAGCTGCAGGAGATATGACACCCTTCTCTGGCCTCCACGGGTATCCATATGCATGTGTGCGCGTACGCATATATGGATACACATACATCTGCATAAATTATAAAACAAATCTTTTAAAAAATGTGTTGCAGAAGAGGGGTTAGAAAGATTGTAAGAGTCAGAGATGGTGGATGACCACAAGGAAACAGATTTCTAAACAGCTGGTCATTTACTCATATGAACTCACAGCAATGATGACAGCACACACAAGTCCCGTGAAAGCTCAAACCAGACAAAATCCCAACACAGACATGAGGAAGTGAATAAGAAGCTCCAATCCAGATGGCTGCTGGGAGGGGCAGAGACAGTCTCTTTCAAGCATGGGACTTTTGGTAGGTTAATTAGGCTCCAGTGGATGGACCCACACTGAAGGACATTTGGAGACACAAATTAGACTCTGTAGGCCTAATTTTATATAATATATATATACATGTATATATTACATTAAATTGAGCAGGGGGCAATAAGAGGAGGTGGGGTTAGGGGAGGGGCTCTAAATACCATCAAATTATATTGTATGAAAATTGCAAAAAAATCAATAAAAAATATATGGGGCCAGGATGCAGCTCAGTGGTAGAGTACTTACCTGGCATGTACAAGACCCTGGGTTTGAACCCTAGCACTGAAAAAAAAAAATTGAAATAATTCTATTTCCCTTTTGAGAGTCTTTGTTCTCTATATCCCTATTTGTGGATTCCACATCTAGAGGAGTATAGAAAATTAGGCACCCTTTCCAAAAGAGGGTAAGAAACAGGCATGGTGAGAAAGTTCAAATTAATTCATTGTCCTTTGGTGCTACCAATGTGGTGTCTGGAGGCAGAGCTCCTGTTCCCCTGGTTCTCAGGTTGTAAGGACTTTGGCCAATGACTCATCTTCCCAGGCTCCAATTTCTTCTCTGTTAAAATGGAGTTAAGTGTGTGTCATTTTTCTTATTACTGCAACAAAATGCCTGACAAAAGCAAGTTATAGAAGCAAGGGTTTATTCTGGCTCTCAGCTTGAGGGTACAGTTCATGATGGCAGGGAAGCCACGGAAGCAGGAGCTTGAGGCATCTGTCACATTGCATCTACAGTTGGGAGGCAGAGCATTGATGATGGATCTGGTGCTCAACTACCTTTCTTCTCTTTATTCAGTTGGGACCCCAGCCCATGGAAACAGTTTAGGGTGGGTCTTCCCACCTCAGTTAACCTCATCTAGAAACCCCCTTGTAGACATGCCCTAAGGCTTGTTTCCAAGGTTTTTCTGAATCCATCAAGTTGACAGTATTACCCATCCCAGAAAGAATATAAAATGCTATATTTACTTTGGAAAATGATCTGGCAGTTCCTTAAAAATATAAACATAGACTTGACTCTCTTACATTCCAAGGAACATAACCAAGAGCAATGAAGACATACATCTCCACAAATGTGTAGGGTCATAGCAGCATTATTTACACTCAACCCAGAGGTTATCAGTTGAGGGGGAATACATGCAAAGCAATTTATTTTGCTACAAAAATGAAGTAAGTATGAATACCTGTCGCTACATGAACTTTGAAAGCATTATGTCTAGTGAGAGAAACTGGTCACAAAGCACTGTATATTACATGAATCTATTTGTATGAGATGCACAAACATGTAGAGGCCAATGGTTGACACTGGGTGCCATCCTCCATCACTTTCCACCTTACTTTTTAAAAAATAATTTAAATTTTTTAAAAATTTTGCTGGGTGTGGTGGCTTGTGCCTTTAATCCCAGCACTTGGGAGGTAGAGGCAGGCAGATCTTAATGAGTTGGAGGCCAGCCTGGTCTTCTATGTAGCAAGTTCCAGGCCAGCTGGGGCTATAGGAAGACCCTGTCTCAAAAAGACAAATAAAAACATTTTTTTTTAATTTTTTAATTTTATGTTTATGAGTGTTTTCCCTCGTGTATATAAGTACACCTGTGCATGCATGCAGTACCCACAGGGGGCAAAAGATGGCGTCAGATCCCCTGGAACTGGAGTTTCGGGTCTACATAGTGAGTTCCAGGCCAGCTGGGGCTACAGGGAGACCCTGTCTCAAAAAGACCAAAAAAGAATACATTATGGGCTTGACTTGATAATAGAGTGGCAGAGTCACTTCATTATTTGTGACTATTATCATGCTAATGTACAATGGTAATGGGGTAAGTGAGGACTGGTAGTACTTGCCCAATGTCCTAGCTACCACCAGATGCTCAGGCAGTAGGATGATTTGTTTGAGCCTGTTGTTTGGGGCTAGCCTGGCATGTTAATACAATCCCATCATATTAAGATCAATCAAGCAATCTAAACCAGATGTGATGGTGCATGTCTCTTACACCAATATTCAGGAGACTGAAGCAGGAAGATGGCAAGTTTAAAACCAGCCTGGGCTACATAACTGCCAAATTTTATTCATTGTGCATGTGGGGCTGTGGCATGTACATAGAGATCAGAGAACAACTTGCGGGAGTTGGTTCTCTCCTTCTACCATGTGGATTCTGGGGATTGAATTCAGGTTGTCAGACTTGCTAGCAAACACTTCCACCTACTGAGCCATTTTGCTGACACAAAAATAAATTAAAAATCAAAGGGGTAACTGTGATGTATCTAGGAATCCTCTACTGTTTTCTCAGTAGTTCTGTAAAGAGAAGCTAATACTAGTTTAAAGGAGCTAATGCTTTGAAGTTGCTTAGTGTATAGTGTTCAGTCTGTGAGCTATAATTATATCATCCTCGTCACTTTTGTTGGGTTGCTAGGTAATAATGTGATGATCTATGGACCTTCTCTGATCTACATCTTGAGGAACCTGATCCTATCAGTAATTGTTACTTAACAAACACCAACACAGTGGTTTACAATGCCAGTCCTCATGACCATTCATGTCATCTGTAGACCCGTTAAGGGTCAATAAATCCAGGCTGGGCTCGGCTAGGCAGCTCTGCTTCTTTCTGTAGGCCTAGGGGCCAGCTGCAGCTGCTCTGTGCCTGAGTTCCTGGCTGTCCCGGGATCAGCAGCCTGCCAGGGTTACGAACTCCTCATCGTGATATCAGATACATGTCAGAAGACAATGACAGTGGCCTCTTCTTGGGACAGGCATCCTAACACTTCTGTCCTGTTCTGTTGACCAAAGCAAGTCATACAGTCCACACCAAAAGTCAGGGTGGAGAAACAGGCTCTGTCTCTGTCGTGGGATGAACTGTCAAGTCACATGACAAAGAATATGGATGTAGGAAGGATGCAGAATTGGGTTGTGTTCTGTTCACCTTCCAAAAGCAAGGCTCCCATGCACATGCAGGCTCCTATGGCCTAGTTACTTCCAGATGCAACTTGAGTTTGCCCTATACAGACCTATATTTGAAGCTAAAGGGAGTGCAGAGAAGGAACGCAGTGATAAAGGCTTGAGCCTGGGGCTTCTTTATTCAACAAACATACACTGTGTGCCTACTATACACAGAACAGTTTAGTTTAACTGAGTTATTGCAACTAGGTCAAAAGGCAAAGAGAGTTCTTTTAAGAAGATAAAATGACCACCCAAAAAGATAAAAGGACAGCTGGGCATGGTTGCATATCTGATCCCAGCACTTGGGAGGCAGAGGCAGGTCAATCTCTGAGTTCAAGGCCAACCTGGTCTACATAGTGAGTTCCAGGACAGCTGGGGCTATTGGGAGACCCTGTCGCAAAAAGACCCCCCCCCCCAAAAGTAAAAGGACAACTGGGTGACTTGAGAGTCTCCAGAGAGCAAGTAATTAACATGCTTTGGTGGAGGTCAGACAACCATGGGGGTCAGTGGTCCTTAGAAGGTCACATGAGGCTTCATGACATAGAATGGCACTTAAGGAAATCAGATAAATTAATGAAGCAAGAACAAGAATGCCTCCAATTAATAAGTCTCAGAAAACAAGGCATCCTGCACTTTCCCGAGAAATGATAATCCTGGCAAGGAGATGTTTTTTCATAGATTTTTCTTCTCCCTTTTTAGGTCTAGGGTTTTTGGAAGTGGTGGCATATCATCCTAACGTGGCAGCCTTTACACTTGGAGAGAGCTTAGCTGATTAACCACTGAGCTCATTAGCCTTGGGTCTGCTATAAAAACTG